ATGGGATGCTCAGGGGATGCTCAGGGGATGCTCAGGGGATGTTTGGGGGATGCTCAGGGGATGCTCATGGGATGTTTGGGGATTGTTCAGGGGATGCTCATGGGATGTTTGGGGAATGCTCAGGGGATGCTCCGGGGATGCCCCAGGAGACACTCAGGGGATGTTTGGGGGATGCTCAGGGGATGCTCAGAGGATGCTCAGGGGATGCTCTGGGGGATGTTTGGGAGATGTTTGGGGGATGCTCATGGGATGCTCAGGTGATGCCCCAGGAGACACTCAGGGGATGTTTGGGGGATATTTGGGGGATGCTCCGGGGATGCTCAGAGGATGCTCAGGGGATGTTTGGGGGATGCTCAGGGGATGCTCTGGGGATGTTTGGGAGATGTTTGGGGGATGCTCATGGGATGCTCATGGGAGGCTCAGGGGATGCCCCAGGAGACACTCAGAGGATGTTTGGGGGATGCTCAGGGGATGCTCAGGGGATGCTCCGGGGATGCCCCAGGAGACACTCAGGGGATGTTTGGGGGATGCTCAGGGGATGTTTGGGGGATGCTCAGGGGATGCTCAAGGGATGCCCCAGGAGACACTCAGGGGATGTTTGGGGTATATTTGGGGGATGCTCAGGGGATGCTCAGGGGATGCTCATGGGATGCTCAGGGGATGCTCAGGGGATGCTCAGAGGATGCTCAGGGGATGCTCAGAGGATGCTCAGGGGATGCTCAGGGGATGCTCCGGGGATGTTTGGGGGATATTTGGGGGATGCTCTGGGGGATGCTCAGGGGATGTTTGGGGGATGCTCATGGGATGCTCAGGGGATGCTCAGGGGTGCTCTGGGGATGCTCAGGGGATGTTTGAGGGAAGCTCAAGGGATGCTCTGGGGGATGCTCAGGGGATGCTCAGGGGATGCTCTGGGGGATGTTTGGGGGATGCTCAGGGGATGCAGCAGCGCTCCTTCCCCTGCTCCAAGGGGAGGTACCCAGGCACCAGCAGGGCAGATGGAGCACCAGGATCTCCAAGCAGCATCCCAGGCTCTGCCCAGGATGGGGCTGTCCTGGGGTTGTTGCTGTCTTTAGGATGAGAAGATGGGAAAGGTTTCAAAGGCAGAGAGGGCTGGGGGTGTTGGTAATTCTCCTTTCTCAGAGTGGTAATTCTCCTCTCTCTAATCTTTACCCTTTTTTTACCCCCCCCCTCAACCCAATTGGCCATAAAATTGCTGAGAAGCTGCATTTCCTCAGCTTAGCAAAATAGAAGTGCCCAAAACCACTTGCATTTGGGGTTTCATTTAATCTCATCTCACTGGGAAGGAAAAACACAGAAACTCGGGTGCTTGGCGCGCGGCGCATTCCGCCGCGTTACATAAACCATTTCAAACTGATTTATTCTAAATGAGTTGTTATAATCAGAATTTTCCTTATGAGCAGCTTTCTTGCAAACGTCAGTATTTCAGGGGGGGAAGAAGAAAAAAAAAAAAAAAAGAAAAAACCAAGCCCAAGCCCATCGTAGGCCCGCTCCAATATTTCAAACTGATTACTTCTAAACACCAGCGCTAAAATTAGGGCTTTGGTGTGCGGCATTGTCAGAGTGGGTGTATTATGATCTGCAGAGAGTATAAAAAGATAAATGAGTTATTTAACCAAGTAAACGACGTTGCTGTAGAAATGTGCTGAGGGAAAATGCGCAGGGGGGTTGGCTCGGGCCGGCTGGGCCCGGGATTGCAGCAGCAGCACCAGGGGAGAGGGGCTGGAGCAGGCCTGGGGGTGAAAAGGGGATTTTCTTTGCATTTGTGTTATTGTTTTTATTGCTGTTGTTATAAAACAGGAGTTTCCCCCCTGTCTGGGGTGGGGTTGTGATTTTGGGAGAGCCAGAATGAGACAGAGGTGGGTGAGAGAGGCGATGGGGCACCCATGGGTGTGCTCCTCCCCAAGGAGGGAGGATTAAAAATCGGTTATTGGTGTGGTCTTAGGACTTCACCTGCCTTAATTTCCTTGGGATCTGCTCCAGAGGGAGAGATGCACTGCACCTGCTGGAACTCCTTGAGTCTGGCTCTTTATTCACACCCA